CCACACAGGGGTCCTGTACCCACCTTCCACTCGCTCGTTCATTTCTGCTAAGAGCAAAGCACTGAGTACCGACTAGTATAGATTTATAGCCAGCACATAAAAGAAAACCAAAAGTACACAAGGACCTCAAGCTACTCTTCTCATTTATCACAGACTATAAAACTCTAAGGGTTCATGAAGCAACAGTAACATAACTTAAAGAGACTTCCTATTGTACTGGGCAACAGCTCTGAAATATTGAGATTTACCAGAGAAAATACACTTTTCAAGTCTTTTACACGAATACAAAATACTTCCTCTACTGTGAAATAGAGCTCCATATTGTAGTTGGAAGTTCACATTAGAGGAGATATCTGTGCTTTAAAGTAACCACGCTCACCTCAGTGGAACTGCTCAATAGTGCACTGAATCCACCCAGGATGTGATGAGTGCAAAATTCATGAGCAACATTCAGCACTTCTAAAGGAAACTGCCTGAAAGGCACAGGGAGAAGCAGCAGTGCCTTGCCACATCTTCTGACTTGCACAATAAAAAAGACTAACAGGATTCTGGCACATGGAGTCAGAGCAGGCAGGCAGAGACAATGAATTACTGTGAGGCAGCCCTGAGTCAAAAGTTCTCAGCAGATCTAATCAGAGCACCTCTGATTACATGAAATTACGTACAGATTTTAAACTGCTTATGCTGTGAAGTAAAAAACATTTGAAGCCAATTTGACTTCAGCTTTTCCAAGACAGCATGTAGTAGATTTAAATGAATACTCAAAAATTTATCCAGTTCTGGCTTTTATCCAGTTCTAGTTGAAGACAATCGAATTCAACATTGTTACTAATTTTGTAGGAATTTCCATCAATAAAAAATCTAACAAAACTGCACAAACTTGCCTCCACACTTTAATAGTTGATTGTCCAGTTCAGTTGGAAACCACAGAACTTAAATTGAAGGTTTCTCTGAAATTGCAGAACTGTGTGTACTTTTTCCCCATTACTGGAATGAAATTCAGACAGCATGTTGGAATTCACTGGATCACATTGCAGTGAGATGAAATGAGATATTAACTAACAGTACCAAACTATTCATGTTCATCTTGATATTAAGGGGGTTTTGCTGGTTTTCAATTTTAAAAAAGCAACTTCTTTTAAAAGAAGCCTTTTGCCATTTACTAACATGTACTATAAAGGAATTGGTGACAAGTATTTATTTCTTGTCTTGACTCATTCCTTTTCTTGTGAAAAGGTAATTGACTCTTACAACCCAGTTAATACTGTTTATTAATAATTTTGTTAATGAGATTTACTAAATGAACACAGTCAAGTTTCCATATATACAGAGGTTGTGCAGATTTATTTAAAAATAATTCACAGACATTAACAGTCCTAATTTAGCTATCTGTTGCAAAACTTTCTTCAGTGGAAGTGTATTTCCGTGCCTCATATGGAGGTGGATGGAGAAAAACAGCTGAAGTTGGTACAAAAACTATGCTGATCCTACCTACAGCTTGGAGCCATGGCATCAGCTTTTAAATATGGAAAGAAAAAATGATGAGGGCAATGGAGCTGATCAAATAAACTGAAGACACAAACAGCATGGAGCATGTATATGCCATCATTTGTTACATGATGTAACAGGTGAAATGAAACCTTTCTTGTGACATTTAAATCAGAGGAAGATGACACTGCACAATGCCTATTTTCAAAACCTAAACCTAGAAAAGCACATACATAAAATTGCCATAGCAGTCCCCTGCTTTGGAAGGAAGGGTAAAGAAGTGTTGAACACTCAGTTTCATCTCTGTTACTGAAAAGGTTTATTACCATGGACTTCTTTTTCCTAATCTTCAAGTATTATTTATTAATATTGCTCAGATGATGGATTAGCAGTTTCAATGATTTACATTTGATCACCATAACACAATGCTGAGTGGATTGTAGACCTGTAAATTAGTCTGCTGAAGGAGAACCTCAATGAAAAGAAGGCTGTAATGGACAGAAGACACTTGCTCCAACTACAAGAAATCCTATTTTCAGACCCCCTTGAATGTGCACCTTCGAAGGAATCATCTGCCAAATTAATGCACACTAGATCAACAGATCCAAATAAGCCTCCAGCGACTCAGGATACTAAGGACCCAAAAATGACTTCAAATTAACTTTTTGCAGAGAGTTAACAACTGAAATAAAATTGCTATTAGCCTTGGTTTTAGAAAGAAAAATAAACCGTGTACTTGAAAAAAAGACAAATTGATTTAATCCTTTCATCCCAAGTATATTGCACACTACAGGCTACCCCATTCCTCAGTTTCTCACACATAATACTTGGGATGCAAAACTCGTGGCATGCAACAACCATAATTCGTGGAGAATGTATGTGAACAGTCACCTTGCTGGCTATGAAATGCCACTATCAGTGAGTGTTTCACTACACATGGGCTACCTACCCTTACTCAGGTAGGTATTTCAGGGGCTGGTTGGGTGGTGTTGAGGGTTTTTGAATGCAGGGCAGCAGTGTGTGAACGTGGCAGTTTGTCCTTGATAAAGCAATCAGGCATGACTAAACAAGATCGTTGTTTGTACAGCTCCTCCCTTGGGTAAGCCAGAATTTCCAGGGCAACAAGCACAAGGCATTTCCCCTTCCACACCCAAGGGGATCAACAACAGATCTCTATTTTCACTGTTCAAATAATAGAGCAATTAACTGGAGAAGCCTGAAAGAAACAAATCATGCCATCCAAGAGTCAATTGCTGAGCAATCTGACAATAAAGGGTTGAGATTCTGCACCTCATGAGGGGATTAGTGCCGCTATCTGCCCAGTTTGGGTGCTGAACAGTAAGTGGCTGTATGACAAACTCCCTGGTTCTGTAGGATGTGTTCAGTAAACAATACAGTAAGAACCACTCATATCAGCTGCAGAAGAAGACTAGCACTTACTGACTGGAAAAGTAGAACTGTCTCTTAATTATACTTACTGTATCATGTTCATGGAAAATATTTTTTAGGTCTAGCACATGAATTCAAGTGCAGAGAATTTCACCCTAAGTTTAGCAAATTTCACTGTTTAAGGAAAACCTATCTGATCCCAAAAAAGTCTGCTTCTGCTGAGTCAGACTAGCATATAAGATGCACATACTAGAAAACAACAGAGTGCATTTCTTCAAATAGGCCTCAGGAAGCTTCCAGCACTACAAAATGGCTGAAAGAATGGAATGCTAACCCCCTCAGGAGAGCAGAAAGCTGTGGAGCAAGCAGAGCACCACAGCAGCAGGAAGGAGAAAGGGTTGCAATGTAGCTTGACCTACTCTTCCAACAGCTTGAGGGTATCCTAAGGCTTCATGTTGGTGAGATTAAAAAAGGATCTTTAGAAGCAGAGGTTTTCAGACTTGCTGGATGAATTCCAAAGCAAGTAATGACTTCTACTTTCTATGGCACCTAAGCAACCTTCAAGAGATCAAAAACCCATCCCAGTTTCATGAATGACCATTTTATTTTCATGTATTTCAGTAGTTACAAATATAGTAGTTGACTGAGTATTTGCTTCCTTCTCCCAAGTAGCTTTATTAAATAATCAAGTGGGTTTTAAAACATAGCTTTTAAGCACATTTTTGATTAGAAAAATATTTTTTGTGAATCCTGGATTAGACAGATATTAATGCTTCCTCTCATATTTTGAAGTAATTTTACATGCTGGTTTCTGAAACATATACTTTATCTCTCCATAAGAAAAGAAATACAAGCATTTATTTCATACCAGTTCTATAAGTTTTGTATTTTGAGCTTGAAAACAGTTGGAAAAGTTTAGTTTGCTATACACATATATATATATATATATATACACCTCTAAATACACAAGATACTGCAATTCCTCAATTTAACACTACTCCTCTTACCTGAAGATGGTTACAAAAAAAATAGTCTTAGTTGCTGTAATTTTTTTTTTACAAGTTGGATATGGTTACAAGATCCTGGATTACAAAATGCTTGATTCCATTAGCTTTTAAACGGACAAATAGGTATTTTAGGTTGATATGCTTTAAAGTTGTGTAGCTTGTAGCATTTGCCATCATAACAAAATATAAGAGAAAGTTAAAAACCAACTTTACACTTTTTACTTAAAAACCACATAAGAAATGCAATACGGAACATACTGAAATGGAAATTTTTCAACAAACAATATATAGTATTAACAATATGCAGAAGCACTAAGCAGCAATTTTTTTTTCTTTGTAATACTGCTCCAGCAATTGTTTACTTCCTGTAGATTTAGGACTACAACTAACTGGTACTGCAAGAAGAGATCTGCAGTTGAAAAATTGACTTGAACAATAACTCACACAAATTCTACTCCTTTAAAAAATGGGATTATTCTTACACTCATGTAAAAATTACTGTAAATTAAATCCCAACTTCCATATGATTTACTTTCTGCAGTCACATATACAACACTGCTATTTTGTAGGCTACCCAACAGAGCAGATAACCTCTACATTTCCACAGGCAAAAGGCTGACAGCAAATCTTGAAATACTTTCTTATGAAAAACAACAACAAAAAAAATCCCAAACCCCAAACCCTTTGAAAGTGTTGTTAAAGCACTGTATTATGGTTTTAAACTCAAGTAATAAAGCATGCCCACAAGGCATTTCTTCCACCAATCCATGCTGCAACCAAGGGAACCAGCCCTATTACTGTATTATAAAACTAGACTATTACAGAGGGCTCTCCATCTCTCTATGCACTTTTGAACTCTAAAGACAACGGACTCATATTTGAATTTTAAAAAAGTAACTCAATTCAAGCATAGAAAGTTTCTGGGCAACCCCTATCCCACACTGACTCTTAAACAAACTTTGCTTTAGATACGACCTAGCTCTTTTTTTTTCTTCGTGGGAGTAAAGTTTGGCCTTTGAAAATAAAGAATACTTGTGATCAGCATGATCCTTAAATACCTGCCCTAGCCAAATGCTTTTACAGGGTTTTTTGTGCATCTTTCCCATCTGGCACAGACCTGCTCCCTACGGAACGGTCACATGAGCACCATCTTTAGGCTAAACCTCATTTACAGAACATGACCCATAGCAAAAAATGTCAAGCCCCCAAGCCCAAGTTCAAAGAATGATTTTGCTTACAAGAAACCTCCTGGCACCATGTAGTGCAACACCTCTGCTCACACATGGTCAGCTGGAGCAGGCTGCCCTGCACAATGTCCAGTCAGGCTATAAGTATCCAGGGATAGCAACTCCTCAAACCCTTTAGGAAACCTGTTCCAGTGTTTGGTCATCCTCTCAGTAAAAATCTGTTACCTTGTGTTCAGATGGAACCCCTAACTGTGTCCATTTAGTCCAGTCACTGAAAGCTGCTGAGAAGAGCCTGACTCCTCCATCTTCATTCCCTCCTGAAGGAGCCAAGATCTCCCCCAACTCTTTTCTTTCCCATGTCTGCAAGTTCCAGCTCTCTCAGCTTCTCACACGTGGTTCTGTGCTAGAGCTGCTCCACTAAGTTTGTATCCTTCAAGTACCAGGGAGTCCAGCACTCCAGATGGATGCTCATCAGTGCTGAGTAATGAGGAAGGATCATCTCCCCTCACCTGCTAGCAAAGCTTTGGCCTCTGCTGCCACAAGGCTGCATTGCCAGCTCACAATCAGTTTACTGACAGGCTGCTGGCCAGTTACTCCCCAGTGGAGCACTGCCCCTTACAGAACTTGGTGAGAATCCTGTGTCCAGTTCTTCAGCCTGTCTGGGCCCCTCAGAAAGGCAGGACCATCAGCTGGTGGTACTGCTACTCCTCCCATCTTATATGGTTTGTAAACTCCATCCCATAATTCAGGTCATTAATGATGATGACTAGTGTTGGCCCCAGTACTCAGCCAGAGGGTACACCACTAAGTAGCCTCCAACTGGACTTGGTGCCACTGATTAAACTCCCTGTGCCCCATCATGCAGCCAGCTTTTAATCCATCTCACTTCCCACTTATCCAACCTGTACTTCACCAGTCTGCCTGCTGATGTAAAAGGTAAACAACTCAGACTGTTCTCCCAAATCCCCAAAGCTTATTGGAGATGGCAGTAAGACTGGTCCAGCAAGATTTCCCTGTTGTACAACTATGCTGGCTACCCCGACCACCTTTTAGAAATGCTCTCCAGGAGGATTCTTTTCCATCATATTATCAAGGCCTTAGGTGAAGCTGATTAGCTTGTGGATTCCCAAATCTTCCTTCTTGGTTTTTTTGAAGAGTGGTATTTTCTCTTTTCTAGTCTACTGGAACATCTCTTAATCCCCCTGGCCATTGAAAGATAATCAAGAGTGGCCCTGCAATGGCTTAGCCAGCTCCCTCAACACTTAGGGTGCAATCTGCCAGGCTCACAGAATTCCAGGTAAAGTGCACCCTAACCCAATCCTCCACCACCAACCAAGGTTCCAGATTTCCCCACTAGTCTCAGGGGCCGGGAATTTCTGCATGCTTGTTTTACTGGTAGTGACTGATGCAAAGGCAACACAGAGTACCTCAGCCTTCTCCATGTCATTGGTCACCAGCTTCCCTGCCCCATTCAACAGCAGGCTCATATTTGCTGTTCTTGTCCCTGAAGAACCCTTCTTGCTATTCTGCCTGAAGGCTGAGGAACCATCCCACAGCAAATGGCGACTCTGCCTCCTCACGCCATGTGCCCTTGGCCACACCCACAATGCAGTCCTGACACTTCTGGAGGCAATAAAGAGAATGCTTTCATTGCACAGGGGAGCTGGTCAGGAGTCCAAGCTGATTTTTCTGGCCTATGCTTTGTGCAGTGGAAGGCAACATACTGAAATGATCTCTCTCATGTGCTCTTTAAAATATTTATACCTTTGTGTATCTCTACTATGATTTAAAATTTCTGTATAAATGTGTAATGTTATAGACACGGTGAGGATATAAGAAATAATGTACTTGGAGGTTCAAGTACTGTATCAGAAATATGCACTGACTTTGTAAAAAAATTACTGTAATTATATTAAGCAAAATAATGACTAAACATTGCTGATTAGGAAGATGTAAAACAAAATGAGTGGTTTTCCCTGTAATTTTTACTGCAGAATTCATCTGTAGGACTTCTACTTAAACCCTTTTCTTCTCATGCAGCATTACAGAATTTTCCCCCCACCCATCCCACAAAACAAAAAAAACCAAAGATTCCACTAGGTGTTACAGATTGCACTTTTAAAGCAGACTCGCCAGTCTTCTGCATTTCCAGTGTCCTATTTTAATCTGTTGACATACACAGTCTTCCATTTTATGAAACTGGAAGATTTCGCCTAAGTACTTCTTTTGATGCTGGAGAAATGTTATCTGGGAAAATTACTTCAAACTCTATAATTAAGTCTCCCCGTTGGTCAGGATTTTTGGGAAATGGCAAACCATATCCTATAATTCTTCTTCTCATCCCAGGCTTTACCACTTCATTGACTGTCATGGGTATGGTTCTTCCTTCTATCGTTGGCACGTTGAAAGAGCTGCCACACAAAGCCTAAAGAAAGATTGTAATAGGAGAAAAAGAAATTGGTCAGAACTTTTTTGTACCTATAATTGAATTTAGATTATTTAAAAGTGACTAGCAATCTAAATACCATTTCTCCTATGCACTTCTCAGATTTCAAAGTTTTAATACTGTGTTCCTCTATTAAAAAGAGAAAACTTTAATTTGTTGTTGAGTATCACTGAATTTATGAATGTTACACAATGGCTACTGGAGGGTAATTGAGCTTTTATGTCCTTCAAAGACTTTATCAAATAATAAAGAGAGCTAAGCAGAATGAACTCCTTACTCCTCTACAGATGTCAGTCTTCTAAATTTCCAGTGGAAATTTCCATTGGAAATTTAGAATCCCATTTCACTTTTTGTTTGTTTACATTGCACAGGACTTTTTTCCTAATACATTATCAAGCTCTATTATATAAAATTTCAGAACATTTAAGTGTCTATAAGCAGAGGCATTTAGAATCACAGCTGTCTTATGTGAATATTTGTGGTGCCTAAAGAAATTCAAACAATATTGTTGCACCAAAGTTGGAATGTTGCAGACCTGCTTTATCCAACAGTTTATTTTCATTACTAGGATCTCTGAGAGTAAGACTGTGATTCCTACAACTTCACCTGATTCAGCACACTTAGTATACACTGATAATGTCCAATTTACATAACAATGCAATGAGTCTAAACAGGCTTTTATCTGTGAAGGAACTGTATTACCCACATTAACATTAAATATTGTCTTTTCTCCCTCCCTCACTACTTTCAGTGCTTCACCTCACTTCACACCTTTTGTAGAATTCCTTAAGGTAGCTTAATTTACAAGTTCATCATGAAATCAAGAGTTTATTTCTCTACTTGATACTAATTAAGAAGAAAAAAATACCTTACACACACAGCCACCATACAGCTTTAACCATTGTATCATACTGTAATAACATCAAGAGAATTGTTCTACCACAAGAGAAACTTACCTCCCTTAAGCTGATCTTAACAGGATAGACAATATTTGATCCATCTCTCTTGAAATGAGAGTGAGGTTTATCTTTAATGATAAAAACAATATCAGCTGGAATCGTGTTGGGTGTTTCATCGCCTTCTTTTGGAAAAGTGATCTTGGTGCCTTCTTTCCATCCTCTTTTGATCTCAATAGTGAGGATTTTGTCCTCTGTTCGGACGCTTCTGCCATCTGGGTTAAGCCTTTTGCGTGAAATCCTCATTCTTTTCGTGCAGCCATGATAGATCTCTTCCAGTGACACTTTCAGTTCATGGATTACAGGGGGATCTTGTTTACGACGTAACTGGCTGCCAACTGTATTCCTTTCCCTTGGAAAACCATTCATACTGAAACTACTGAAGGATCCAAATGGGTCACCATCCACCTCCATGTCTTCAGTGTCTCTGCCACCAGGCATCCTCCTCCCAAAGAAGATCTCAAAAGGATTTGTGCCACCAAAGAAAGCTGCAAATGTAGCGTGTGGGTCTCCATGGAAGGAGTACCGGAAGGTGCCGCCCTGGCCATCAGATCCTCCAGCTCCTCCTTTAAGACCTAAACAGGAAAAATAAGGCAAGTTAAAAACAAACTGGGGCTTAGTATAGGCTTTCCTGCTATACACTGTAATGATATTAGGACTGATGAGTCAGAAAGATATTTGCAGTAGAGTGAAAGGTCTGCTTTTCAGGGAGGATTCACCATGAGAATGTGAGGTACTAACTAGCAATTCAATAGCTTGAACAGCAAGGTTTCTGAAGCTCTAGAATGACTTCAGAAGAACAGGTATTCTGACACTGGCAATTTCATTTCATGTGATTGAAACCAGTTATTTTAATCAATTAGCATCTTAAGAGCAGAAAACAGGTTTGCTTGATTTGAACTCTTCTTACTCTGCAAAGTGTTTTGGGAATTGCATCCTTCTACAAGGTCACTGCTGGGGAAAATTACTCACTGTCATATGCAACATATTCCATAGCCTCTACAGCTCAGCTCTAACTCAGTTATTGAGATTTACCCATTTTCCTGCAATTTGTTCTGAGTAAAAGGTAACATGCCAACAGTCAAGTACACATATGCTTCCTTAATATTAAATTTAGAACCCCAAAACTATCACAGCTTGTGTTCCTATGGTACAAAGCATAGGAAGTCTCTTCAATGCAGCCACAAATGAAAGCATCATGGAACTTACTAAGATCCATTTGATACAAAGCCCCTTGTAGACACTATCACCATGTCCGTGCTAAATACCAGAAGGTTTTTAACAGTTTTGTTCTCTCTTTCACATGGTGAGATCTAAATCTCATTTTTTCATGCCAAGAACTCTCACTGAAAATTCTCTTGTACCTCCTGTGCTCCCATTCCAGATCAAGCTAAAATCAATTTTTTCAATGCCTCTTTCCCAATAAGTGATCAATTACTTCCTTGTAACAGTGCTCTTCTCCATCAACCATTTTAGGGTGCTTTCTCAGACTATTAGAAGGCTGAAAGTTCTTCTTAAGGTACTTTTGTTTTAAAGTAAACAGTCAAAGTCTTAAACTTCAAATGCTTGTTTTTTAAACTTTTTTTTTCAGTCTTGGACCAACTCAAAACCACAGCTGCTATCATACTTTTATAACCATAGAAAAACGAAGGCTTACAGTATGAGGGAGGCATTCTATAAATTTGAAAGAGGGGTTTGTAGGGGTTTTTTTTAGCTCAGTGTTCTCATGCATAACCTTAATGCTGGGTACCGACATTAACCAGCTAAGACATTAAACATTTCAATACCAGAGCAAAAGTACTTAAACTGGAGTTTGTTGGATGTCAAACATCCTTCTGACACACTACTATTAATGCCAAATATGCAGATCAGGGGATTCAATCTGTGACAGCAGAAGGACACCTCCTGGAATAGCTGGCCAGAAGTTACTGAAGGTACATCCAGTTCCTGGCTGCAAAAACACTGAGGATTCCTCCTTCTTACAAACCCCAACCCTTTGCATTTCCATTAAAATCCTCTCAGAAGAGCTTAGAGAGTAACTGAGGCATCAGGAGATATTCCCACATTCAACATTTCAAAACTTTATATCTTTGCCCAAAATACTAAATATAAATAGTGCTGTTTAATTGTAAAAAACATGGCCCTGAGCAAATAGCAATGAGCAGGCCTACTTGTAACAACGGAAGTCGTTATTTTAAAAGGAATTCCTGATACCATACACATTTATGGAAAGGGATGTTAATGACTTCCTCTGTTGCTCAATCATAAGACTGAAAGACATGTCGGTCAAAAATTTAAAAAAATAAAAAAAATCATCCTCTCCAGATAACCATTTTAGGATAAATGTGACATTTCTGAGGCCTCATTCTCTTGGCATGTTATCACTGTTTACAATTAAAGCTAAAAAATTGTTCTGGTATTTCATGACATCAGCCAAATTCTTTCCTCTCTAGGCACAAAGCCAAGGACAACTACAGGCTGGACACCTGGGCTTTTGCTCAGAAGGACTGCTTTGCCTAGATCAAGCAGACTGGCCTTAAGCAAAATTTTTAAAAAAGAATACAAGCCTTTTGAACTGCATCTCAAAAACTGCTCTGGCAAAGGAAGGCAGCAGTAAGAGATCACAGAAAGCTATTCATGGGTGATAGAAACTTATTCTGTTTAGTAACTTTTTGCCTGTCCTGTATTTGGGGTTTGTACTAAGCCCCATTAGATAAGGAAATTAAAACTTTACCAGCATTAAAGCCCAGCAATGCATTTTATACTTAAAATCTCATGAGCAGAACAAATACATTGTAAATACGCTGTCTAAAGAGGAACACATACTATGTCTTCACATGTTTACTTTGCTTCATTCAACATGATGAAAGTGACCGACCAAAGCGTAACAAAGACATACATACCTTCCTCCCCAAACTGATCATAAATATCTCTCTTTTTGGGATCACTCAGCACTTCATAAGCTTCTGCAACCTCTTTGAACTTTTCTTCTGCATGGGGAGATTTGTTCTTATCTGGATGCCATTTCAGCGCTTGTTTTCTGTAAGCCTTTTTGATATCCTCGTCAGAAGCCCCTTTTTCAATTCCCAGGATAGAATAGTAATCTTTCCCCATCCTGAGCGTTGGAGGAATTCAGATTTTCTTTGCTGTAAAGGAAGCAGCGTCCAGTGTCTTAGCAGGGTGGAGATGCTAGAGAAGGAAAAATAAAAATCAAACTTTGAATCGAAACAAATAGAGCTGCTACAAAACAACAAACTCTAGGCTACATGAAGAAAGCCGGGAGAGGCTGTCCTGTTCCATTCCGTGCCCCGTGGCTCATTTATAAAGCATTACGGAGCGGGCACGCAGCGCCCGCCCCCGCAGGCCGCTCTTTCTAGAACGCCCAGCCCCTCACGTCACTTCCCCGCCGCCGGCCTCGGCTCTCGCCGTCCCGCGCCTGCGCAGCAGCGCCAGCCCAGCCCCGGAGCGCCCGAGCGGAGCTGAGGGGGCAAAGCGGAGCGGGAACGGCGCCTGCACCAGCCCGGCACCGCCAGCCCGGCACCGCCAGCCGGTCCCGGGGCTCCTCTGCCCGAGCACCAGGCTGAAGCCCACCCAGAGTAATTATAGCATTTTACTTCACTGTTTCTATAGAAACAGCTGTACATAACTCTTTTCCAAATATATCAACATGGAGCTGTACCCTTTCCAGCAAAGGCTATGAAGAATTTTACACCCGTATCAACGACAAAGCTTCTGAAAGCAAAATTTCCTTTCTTTAAAAATAAAATTAAGCCACTGTCAACCACAGCTGACCATAGCCATATACTATTAAGCAGTAAGAATGAATCTGAGGAAAAAAATACCACTTTGTTTACCACAACTCAAGCCACTAAATTAAAGCAGATCAAAACATAAATCCTGTCTCAGCCTTCTTCTATGGAATAGGAAATACCAAGATTATTATACAAGTATGGCAATATACCAAACAAATAGCTTTCATCTGATGAGATGATAATAACAGAAAAATACTTAGTTCTTATACATTTGTTTTAAAATATATAAAACAAATTCTACTACTGAAGTATTTCTCATGCTCCATAGAGAAAATGCTATGAAGTTTTAGCCTGCAAGATTTCTTTTGTACCTCTGTAAAGAGCTAAAGGTCAAAAAATCAGCTACGTTTGTCAGTAGGTCAATGAACCACATGACAGATTAACACAACTGAAAAATTACTCCTCCCTGGAACAAAGTATTAGAATACAACACTTTGGGTCATATCCAGATGTTGTCTGTATGAAGACAACTCTAGGCTGAATTATGAAGGAGGCTGCCTTCCTTCTAACAATAAAACCCACTAATCCTCTGACTCAGGGAGCATTACATTTGAAGCCGTTTTCTAGAACCTGCTCAAACTTGCAAGAGATTGGAAAGAAGGGAGAGAAAATGCTTCCTTAACCAGAAAGTACTAGAAAAAGATTTGGAACTTTACTTTCACTTTCTTAGCTTGCGTCATCCTCCTAATCCTCACACCATTATCTTTTCTTTTCCAATGTCAGCAACAGAATTTACTAGATTCTTTCCAGAGTTTCTACCTTGATGTGTTCCATCAGTATGCCCATTTCCCAGAATCCTTGCATTTCAGAGCCTGCTGCTTTGTGTCCAAGCCCCACAGGTCCCTGCAGTGTTTGTAACCGCGGCCCCTGGGCTGGGAGCTCACGGCTTTGCCCCGGCACGAGTCAGAGCACAGAGCCCCGGCGGGCCCCGCACACGGCCCCGGCGCTCTCAGCCCTCACAAACCAGCAGCCGTGAGTCCTGTAAATCATTCAAGCCTTCCAGAAGCACTAAACTACACAGCTAGAAAATTAGTAAGGCCATAAGCCAAGCCTTGATTAAGCATGATTCCGTAAGAAAGCTAAGGAAATTCTCAGATGTACAAATCCAGTAATATACTTGGCCAGAAAGCCACCTCAAAAACATAACAGAAACCCCCTCCCACCATCACTTAACTTTCTCCCTCACTCTACCACAGTAATTTTCCAACTGATATATCACATTATGACTCAATTAACCTTTCACATAATCAGCTATTTGTTTATACAGTCTTCGAATACAACAGCTATATTCCATTTCAGGCATACACAGAAAAAAGTTATCATCCTTCCAGTATCAAGTGGGATCTCTGAAGCTCTTGGATGTAGTCAATCCTGTAAAACAATTTTCCACCAAAACAGGCAGTCTCAGACGTAACTTTCTGTTCTTACAAGCTACTTCAGGGTAATGCCATGGTACTCCTATTCTGTACTGAGAAAGCTAACAGCCTGTATTTGTCCAGTGCTTTTTTACATCACTGGTTTTTGTTACAGTATAAACTAGGGGGGGGAAGGAATTTCAGTTCAAGCTTTATAATGTTGACTGGGGGGAAAAAAATGGTACATTTTCAAATGTAACAAATTACTAAAATGCCAAACAGACTATTAAAAATGTTATTGCCAGGAAAACTGAATAAAATTTTGAAAACATGCAAAACTTGCCTAATATAAGCAATCTCTTACCTAGAAGATTTTCTATGTTCTTTGATCAAAACCTATGACATTCACTTTTGATACTGGACTTCCTTTTTTTATCAAAAAATGTGTATGAAATACACACTATGAAACTGAAAATTGTTCCTTTAAAAGCTGCACTTCAGAGACAGAGCCTGACTAATGCATTCCACTTGAGAATTGTTGCTTTAAAATGTCTTTTCCATTATTCTCTCAGAACAACTATAGTTTAACTCACGTACATACGCCAAGAGCTTTAAGTCTTGTTTGGCAGAAAGTGGGGGCAGGGTCACAGGAACAACATCAGCTTTGAATCAGCTGACTTCTTTAAAAAAGCCTTCACAACAAGTGAGAGAAATTACAGAAGCATTCGTAATAACATACTGAACTCAAATTATAGATTAATCATAAATTAGCACCAATGTGTTAAGGAAAAGCTTCTTGGCAGAACAGTGTCAATATTCCCTAGAGTTGAATAAAAATGCTCATTATTTGCTCTAAATTATACCATTTCTTCTGTACTGCTCACTTATTAAACCACAGAAACAAAACTGAGAAAGACAGGACTAGATCACAGAACAACTTAAAGAGCAAACAAAACCACAAAGGCAAATTCCAGACAGATCACAACTATAAATACACATGTGCACATAAATGTCAAGGCACAGGAGCCAAATCCCTCCCCAGGAAAAGCTTTCACAATTAAGTGCACAATATTTGCAAACCCACATTAATGAATGGAATAAATTCATACTCATCTACAATGGTTTGAAGAAAGCACACCCATATACAATAAAATAATTTCCTGTAACATTATCCATTGTTTGACCTGGAAAAAAAGTCCTACAACTCTTCTCCCTACCATCTTGAACTGGCTGTAGCTGCTGCCTGAGCTATGTTTGTACCTTATATACAATTTATACTGTGAATAAGACCTGGTACATGCAAGCCCCATTCATGAACTCTATAATTAAATCGAGTTTCAGCACAGAACTATTCAGTAGCTGGTATCATACACAGAAATAAGTTTTGGAGTTTACAAGAGAAGCAATAATTAGTATAAAAAATATATCTAACATAAAATGCAAAGTGGAACCTGCAGAGCATCACAGTTCTTTCTAGTGGATGGCCCTAAAAGAAAAGCTTCATTTAGTAATGCCCTTCATACCACAGTAAGAACCAAATTTATCAAATTTTTACTTGAGTTCTCTGTGGAAACTGCTACTGTGACAGAAGTAAAAAAGTTAACTGTACATAAGAATTCTGGGGCTGACTTTACAGCTAAATGAATAATCAAAAAAGCAAAGTGAGATGCCACATGACTTACAATAAATTCATTATATTTAGGTTACACCAGTCCTAGTATCAAGAAATATGTTTTATATTTTCATTGGCAGTATGTCTTTTAAAACAGTGTCTATAATATTACTGGAACATACATTAAATTCTGCCAACAGGCCAAAGAATATATTTTTAAGGTCTTTTGTGGAAAAGCTTACTTAAAATATACATTCCAGAAATTACATGAATTATTGAGTGTAAAATCTCAAACCAGACATACACTGTTACCACTTCTGAATCCCAAAAATGTATTTTTAAGGATGTGATTCACATAGTCTTCAACTTCATTTGGAAAAGACTACATGACAAGATGTTAGTAATTTTTTAAAAATTAGTTTTAACTTTCTTATTACTTTTTGTAACAATAGACCAAAAGTCAGAAATAAAATGTACAACTGAAAACATTCATCACACTTTAAAACTTACTACAGTTTATGATATGCTAAGTTATGGGTTGGGTTCCTCTCTTCGGGAAATCATTATTTCCATTACACACTGATCAGAACATAGCAAACTTACACCTCATATCTGATTCCTGCTGACTAAGTCACAATCTTTACTATGGCTGGAACACAAAAATACTCTTGGAATAAACATCCACATTTTAACTTTTCACTGCTAAGAGGGAATGAACAACTATGTGAAAGCAAGCAGAGCTCCTGGGATTCAGCAGTGAGGTACAGATGGATGAAAACACAGGACTGCACTTGGAAACTCAAAAGGAACCATCCAAAGTATGGCCACACAAAGCAACACAAAGAATTTCCATCTACAAGTTAAGACTTCCCCCTTCTACAACAATACACATTCCAAAGGTGCTTTTCAATTCCTTACTCAGATTCTGCCCCATTTCAATCCCTACCCACGCATTTCTGTGAAGGGATTCTTGCTCAGTTTGAGTGATGATCAGCAAAAATGCCAATCCTGCAAAACATTCACCAGGTTCTCTCCCGTAACTGACTATGCCTGTTTAACACACTACTGGGAACTTCAAGGAGTTAAGAATGTCCTCACATTCTTTTGTAAATATCTGTATGGAAAAGCGCAGTGTTTCGGTACAGAGAAATACCTCCTGTTATTAGCAAAAAAAACCCACATTCACAACAAAACTGAAGTTCTCTTTCCTCCACGAAATGTTTGATTTTAACAAGTTCTGCACAATTCACTACTTAAGTTGTAAGTCTGGGGCAAAGAAAACAGAGAAATACTGTAGCCAAACTTCTTTCTTTTAGTTTTACATGTAAAAAGCCCGGGTTTTTGTCCTAACTACCTGCTGCTGTGATGGCTATCACTCAGGAATTTGCCCAAGCCTGAAGGAATTCTGTCCTGAAATAGCCAAATGCAAATGAAGAGTTAGACTCAATCACATATTTATCACACTGCACTAGTCAGGTTTCTGACTCACGTGTCACCAACCTTCTCATGCTGGTTATATAACAAGTAAAGATATTTCACAGAATGAACGGCTTAATGCTTTGTGTGTGCTCTGTTTCCCTCCAAGACTAGCTGCT